GGTACGCGGGCCTCTCACTGTTGTGGCCTCTCCCGTTGCAGAGCACAGGCTCCGGATGCGCAGGCTCAGCGGCCATGGCTCACGGGCCCAGCCGCTCTGCGGCATGTGGGATCTTCCCGGACCAGGGCACGAACCCGTGTCCCCTGCATCAGCAGGCAGACTCTCAACCACTGCGCCACCAGGGAAGCCCTTAAACTATATTTTAATGCTTTGAGTACAATTATCAATATTCTAGGAATTCACAACACTACAATGTAAAGAAAACCATTTTACAGGTAAATATGAAAAATATGCCTGTCTTCTGACCTAGCAAATATACTCCGAGAGATCTACCCTGCATATTATTGCACAAATGTTTAAGTATATATATATACTAAAGTATATATATATACTAAAGTATATATATATACTAAAGTATATATATATACTTTATATATACTAAAGTATATATATATATATATACACACTAAAGTATATAAAGTATATATACATATACTTTAGTATATGTATATATACTAAAGCACACACACACGCACACACACACACACACACATATAGGAGAGGTTCAGTGTAGCAAAAAGTTGAAGGAAATCTAAATGTTTTAACAATAGGAAACAGTTTAAATTATGAATAGCCATGCTATGGAATAGTATACAGCCATTAAATTAATGAGGCATGGGTTGTCAACAATATATTTTTGAGTGAAAAAGGCAAGTTGTAGAATAATAGGTCTAATGAGATCCCATTTTTAAAAATAAAAAATAACATTGACTTTTAACTTTATATACTTCTACATAGTTTGAATTTCTCCAATGTGTATATATTACTTTTATGATTTAATAAAGATATAAAAATATATATTTTAAGAAAAGTAACACTGTGAAGGCTTAACTGAGGAAGGGGGGCAATGTCTTACTTCCTTTCATTCTCAAACCAGCTGCCTAATGTCTTGTTTTCTACTTCAGAAAAGGCCCTCTCTCCCCTTCTCCCTCTCCCCTCACTACCTCTCTCTCTCTGACTGGTACAAAGTACATGCTTAAATTTAGTGTTCCACTCTCTCTACACTTCATATCTACCTAGTTCCACACCTGTCCTCATGTTAAAACATGTGAGTTTAAATTATGAATGAATTTATGAATTATGAAACTGTTGTTTGCTGACGGTTCTGTCAGGGGCGGGTGGTACAAAACAGCATTTCTGCACTTCTGGTGTAGAGATAAAATGTAAGCATCTGGATGATAGCGTGGAAGAATTTCCCTCAGTTTCAGACCATAATGAGAGCTGTAAGACCTTGCTACTCAAAGTGTGGTCCATAGACCAGCAACACTGCTGACACCTGGGAGTGTCTTAAAAATGCAGAATATTGTGCCCTGCTCTTGGACTACGGAACTTAAACAAGAGCTGCCTTTAAACAAGATCCAGGTGATTCCCATGCCTTTTAAAATTTTAGAAGCACTGCATTAAGACAGTTAAAAGTTGGGAATTAACTACTTTGGATCATAAATTGCTCTTCAGTTAACATATGCACTTATGCCTTTAGTAACCTCTCTTGAAATTATATCTGAAGCTTACCATTCTTCCACCAGCTAGTGAAAATTCGTTTGGAAGCACTTGAAGCCCTTTCCCCATTTCTGTCAAGAAAGTGACATTAATATCTAACAGATAACAACACACTGCAGTCACATGGTGTAGTTGCCTGAGCTAGTTATCTTCTGATAGAGCTCTAACAAACTGGGTTTCTTATCAGCTGCAAAAGGAACTTGATGCCTGCTAAGATTAGATTCTGCCTTATGCCGAATAATTTGTAAATGGCAGGGAGAAAGAGAAGCCTGTTTTTTAACCTGGTTCTTCTGCAGTAGATTCTGTTCTGAGCCTGAGGTTTATTGTCAACACTGGAAATGTCATATTATAAAATCAATTATTTCTTTCCCCAGGAATTTGATGGACGACCATGTATAGTTTGCCCCTGGCATAAATACAAGATTACTTTGGCCACAGGAGAAGGACTGTATCAGTCTATAAACCCTAACGATCCATCAGCAAAACCCAAGTGGTGCTCCAAAGGAATAAAGCAAAGGATTCACACAGTGACAGTGGACAATGGGAATATTTATGTGACTCTTTCTAATGAGCCTTTTAAGTGTGACTCTGATTTTTATGCCACTGGAGTCTTCAAAGTAATTCAGAGTTCTTCCTGATAAAATTTTATGGCAATGAAAAATGTTGTGTATGTTTTGAAAGTGTTTTTAGAATAACCTTGCTTCAATACCAAAGATGATTAACTTTTTCCAAAATAGGCACATTTATTATCTTTAATAATCATATAAATGAAAGGTTCAAAGCACATGTACTTAGTGTGATGTAAGGATCATCATCAGGATGTATAGAATACATTTCAGCCAATCCTCTGGATTGATTGGAACCTGAAGGTTATAGGTTTAGAATATGCATTTTAAGAAGGATGAAAATAATTTAGAATAACCAAAGGGAAGAAAGGTTAAAAAAATTAGATCTACTAAGAAAAATTTAGGGGGATAATCCCTACTTGATATAGCAGACTTTATCATGGAAAAATTTTAATGTATACAAAGTAAACAGAATAATAAACCTCCACCACCCACCTTCAACAATTACCAGCAGTCTTCCATTCTTGTTTCATTGATGCATGTATTCACCACCTCCCCTACTGATGGTTATAATTTTTTTTAGGTAAAATTTAAACACACTGAAATGCTTAAATCTTAACTGTTCAGTTTTTCCAAATATATAGCAGACCATTTACACTTAAAAAATACCTCCCAAAATGGGATCAGTTTACATGCTGAATTTAAAAACAAGAAATTTAATTTGCCTGACATCAAAACCAAGTAAACTTTGGCTCCGTTTCTCTCCAGTCAAGGCAGACAGTTTCAAAGTAAGGAAGATACAGCTGCTCCCCAGCCATAAGAGATGTGAAAGTTTCAGCGAGCCAAATTACTTTGAATGCCTATATGAAATTTTCAAATAAAGTTGTTTTTTAATTTTATTTTTATAGAATTTTGTGCATGTATGTACAACTAAGTGTTTCATGTGTGTGTTATAGAGAGAAGAGATATAGGGTGTTGTTTCTCAGAGTCTTCTGAGTTCATAGGCAGGGTTGATATTAAGTTGGTTCACCCTGCTTTTTCTATGCCAGTTATTTATGGCCAACGCTGTTCTGGTTGCATCGTGCCCACACTGTACTATAAAACCCTGGGTACTGATCATCTAAAACTCAGCAGCACATAGTAGAATATTAGAGTATGTGGGACCAGAAGGAACTAGGATGAACAGATTATTAATTCGGAGTGAGAAAAGCTGTTTGTCAAAATTGGAACTTAGTTGCAAACCACAGTAATCGTCTTAGTGACATAGGACTCAATTAAGGCTTAATATTCTAAGGGGCCCACCTGGATCCTTCCCCTTGGTTATTGTTAAAATAAGTGAATAAAGTATGTATCATTAAGGCTGTGCTTACAGAGCCCTTTGCTACATATTATTACCTTTTTTTTTCTGATGTATTGCTACATGCTACCCATATTCCAACACTTGCTATTCATTAGACTACTAATGAGCCAGGGCTGGGCTTTTTATAAATACTATTTTTGGCAGCAGCTACTCATCAGGTACAGGAAATGTACCATCTCTGAGATGGGTACATCCCAGCCTATTATATCAGGTGCTAATCCTCCAGTGACTTAACATGTGTCCAGAATTTAAAACACATGGACGAAACCAAAGTACCTCCTGCAGGCAAAACCACGACCCTGGTTTGCAGGGCCAATCACAAGCATTTTTTCTCAGGATCCAGTGGCAACAATGAGTAATATGGACTTGACTTCTGGTTCTTAATTTGTTCCTCTAGATGTGGAAATTAAAAATGTCATGTCATGTCCTGCTCTCATATACAGACCTCATCAGATTTGTAAACAATATTTTGTTTTATAAATTTACATCTATGAATTACAAGTTCTTCATAACTTTACAGATGAGTTTTAAAATAACTGATAATAGGCAGACTGAAACTATACAGCCTGTAGATAGAAAATGTATATGTCCTTTTATTATCTCTGAAAAAGATATGTAGCAGTTTAACAGGGAGGGTTTTTTCCCCTCCCAGATAAGTAATTGGAGAGATACTCTAAATGAGTCTTTAATAAAAACATAAATGTATTATAAACATGCCCATATTATAAACCATAGCATAGAGTCTAACCCACCAATTTTCTGGTTCATTAAAAAATATCCATAGTCATATATACTACATCGATTCATTTTATTTTCTCTACCATATAAATACTTGAGAATGACATTTTAGCAGTAGTCCCCCTGACCAATTTTTTTTTTCAAAGCAGAGCAGTCAGAATATGAAAACTAGTTTCCTAATTTTGTCAGATGAAATGTCATTAGATAACTCTTAAGCTCTGTTCAGTGATATTTAAGTTCAGATTTGCTCATTCATTCATTTCAGTTGATTGGTCAAACACAGAATGTAAAACCTGGATCTCATTCCTCAACTTATTAGCAGGAAGTTTGGGGCGATCTGAAATATTCTCCAGCTTCTCCGGTAATGACCTGTAAGGTTTTGCTTTGATTTCACCTTCAGGAAACAGAGGCTCAGAAAGCACAGGCTCAGAAAAGGCTTTTCTAAGATTCTCACTCTCCTGTCTGTTTTGCCATATGGATTCTTCTTCTTGGAAAATTTTCATTACCTTCTCCAGCACAGCATTAACACAGACTGTTTAATAATAATAAAAAATTTTAAGTAAGGTTTCTTTTAAAGCTACTAAACTTACAGATAAAAATCCAATAAAACATTTAACATAAAGTCATTAATCTGTATATTCTAAGAAAGAAGCACTTTGGGGACTTCCCTGGTGGTCCAGAGGTTAAGACTCTGTGCTCCCAATGCAGGGGCCCCAGGTTCCATCCCTGGTCAAGGAAGTAGATCCCGCATGCTGCAACTAAAGATCCCACAGGCTGCAACGAAGATCCTGCATGCTGCAACTAAAACCTGGCGCACCCAAATAAATAAACAAATAAATATTAAAAAAAAAAATCTAAGCACTTTCTTCCAGGTACCCCTGGCACATGATAAACATGAAGAGATTGATTCCTTATTATAAATATACCATAATCTAGAAAGAAAATTAAAACATAGTATGCTTTAATAAAGACATGCTTTATATTTTCCCCAATTCATTAGATGTTTTACATCTCTATTCTGTGATTTAATTAAATGAAACATTTTCTGAGAGATGGAATTTGTCCTCAAACATGTTAATATCTCAAAGTAGGGTTTTTGTTTTTACTTTTCCCCCCCTAGACTTTGCTTATACCAATTGTATGCAATTGGAAGGGCATAAACATTTTGGTAAGAATTTAGTAAGTTAATGGATCAGTGATTTATAAGCAAACTTGTGATCCATTTTCCCTCAAAAAATGCCATTCAGTACTTAGTGTGTCAAAACAAAGCACACAGAGAAAAATAACTTCAAAAATTGAGAATCACTAAGAGCTGTATCTGTTAAACTTATAAGTTTACTGATGAAGATGAGGATGCCAAGTATTTAAGGCAAGCAACAAGAATAATAAAATGTATAAAATATGAAAACACCTAAACTAGCTTATTTTACCAAAGAGATGCCTCCCAGGTGACATAATAGGCTATAAATGCTTAGAAGGCTTTTCTGAAGAGGGTAACAGAGAAAGGATTCAGGGCCTTGGCTTGAATAGCCTCTTTTCTCCTGACCTCCTGCCTCCTCTTTTCTTGCCTGTCTCCCACTATAGAATGGGCGGACACCAGATGCTTTTCTTCACTTCCCTGTGTATGGCAATGTGACCCTGTTCTGGCCAACTAAAAAAAATGTCTGCTGTGGAGGAAGATAGGATTTTTGGAAGAGTTCTTCCTCCTTTTATAAAAAAATACTCTGTCTTTTGCCTCTACTATCTCCTCCCTCTTGCTTTGGACACTGATATGGATGTAAGGCCTGAGCATGAGGCAACAAACCTAAGGACCAAAAACAACAAACAGGATAGCCAAAGAGAAAGACGGAAGGGCCCTGGGTTCGTGATGACATTGTAGGTCCACTGTACAAACCCGGGAACTGCCTAACTCGACTTCTAATTAAGAGGGAGATTTAAATGTCTGTATTGATTAAGGTATTCTCAGGTATTTTTTGTTACTTGTATCTGAGTATACCCAAATCTAGAGCTATAAACCTTGAGGTCCATCACTTCCAGATGCAAACAGCTTTAGCCATTTATCACAAATATGATCATTTTCTATGTACACCATGCTGTGAAAAAAGGTTGGGAAGCCCTATCCTATTTGATACGTTTCTTCTTCCCTCACTTACAACATTTTATCTGTGCCCATTCTAACCAATTCTGTCCAAGTGTCAGAAAATGAAGGGTCTTGATCAAGGTCAGCATCTCTCTCTTTGCTTTTCACCTATACTCTACCATTTTGTCTATCAATTATTCCCTGCTTCTTCAACCTCTCATTCTTGACTAGCTCCTCCCCTGCAACCTGTAACATGCCAAAGTATCTTCTATCCTAAAATTTAAAAATTAAAAATCACCCTGGCTCTGTGTCCCTCTTGACTGCTACACACACTCTTTTCTTCATCAAACCAGGGCCGACATTCATGATTTCCATTTTATTGTCTCCTCTTCACTCTTCCTGCTTATTTCTGTCTTCCTTATCCCATCACACCACTGAAATAGTTCTCAAGATGGTTAATTCCAACATCTTGACTACTAGATCTAATGGACGCTTTTCAGATCTGCCCTTTACTTGACTTTTTCTGCTTGTATGTGACACTTAACCACTCACAACTTCCTAAGTCTCTACTTCCTTGCCAGTGTTTCTCCTGATTCACTTCCTACTTTTCTAATTATTGGTCCTTTGTCTCCTTCATGGATTTCTTCTTAGCTCACCTTAAATGTAAGCTGTTCTTCACATTTCTGTCGACTTTCTACTCTTTTCACTTGGCATGGTTCCACTCACGGGGCACTAACTTCCAACATATACGTTATTTGCCTTCAAAACTGTAATTCTAGCCCTGACCTTTCCTATGTCTTGGATGCATATATGACCAATTATCAGAGGTCACCAAAATATGGTTTCTATTACCTACTTAGAAAGTTTATAGCATGACAAATCATGTAGGATGATCTCAAAAGCCTTTGAAAAATTAGAGAAATTTTGGGTTTTAAT